GCAAAATGTGCAACCATAATTCAGACCTATCATCAACTTGCAATGAGTAGAATTTCCTCCTTTAATGCGTCACGACTTTTATCGTGAGCCTACCTCCCCCCGTGATCGATGCGGACATTTTTTTAACGACTGCTTTCCTGTAGCCAGTTATTACCATCCTACCATTGAAATACATTAAAATTTATTCTCCTTCATACTTTTATATAAAAAATAAAGATTATTAAGAATTTATTTCTTTGTTTGATATTTCAAAATAGAACAACAGCAACTTTCATCTATTGTTGAAACTAAAAGATCATGTAAAAATTTGATGAATATTCTTCGAGTGTGTTGCATTTTTGCAACTATCGAATTGAACATTAACTTAAAGTGCGCAATAGAACTTCAGGTGTAACAAAGTTAAAAGTAAATATAAAATTTCTTTTACAGAAATAAAATTCATATGAAGAATCTAGAGAAACATTGTTATATGTAATACATTTTTGGAAAATATATTTAGATTTTAGTAATAAAATTATTGTGTGAATCGCAATATGGCGGACAGGAAGTAATTGCTTCGAGAAATATTATTAAAACATACAAAAAATAAGGACTTGTAGGTGTTTTGCTAGATTATATACTTTAATGATTAAGTAAGTACAATTTTTAATTTCGTGAATAGCTGGTACATATGTATATCTATATAAAAACTATAAGATTGACAGATTTCGAGTAGTAGTAAATTCAGACTGTTTGAATTAGTGGTTCTATTGAGCCATCGATGTCGTCACTTCCGTGTTCACGGCGTTGCCAAATCGACCATTGTTTCGTTCTCACGAAGCAAACCCTTCTGCGGTTAGTGTTGTGCCAGTGGGTCGTTTCGCGACGGTTAAAATAGTTGTGTTGCGTCGCGAAGTGGAGAATTATGACAAATACGATAAAAAATAAGAAGCGACTGCCTTGTGCATTCGTTAAATAACACGTATACTATTACGCAAGGTGAAGACCAGCCTGCCAACTAAACTTTAAAAGTAAAACCCACCGAGATTTCTTGTTGAAGTAGGTATATCACATTTTTAGAAAAAGTACGTTATAACGTATATAAAATTAATTTACGATAATAAATGATATTTTCTTTCATTTTATTACATGTACTTAGTATTTTTTTCTAGTTTTCCATGCCCGACAATTTTTTTGAACGTTGTTTTCAAACTATTGTTAGGGTCTCCTTTTATGTAGTTTACCTTGTGCAATTACTGAATTGCATGATTGTAATTACCAATAAGATTTTTAGTTAGCTGATTATTATTTACCGCAATGAATTCCTCCTTTTTTTATTTATAATGTTAAATGAAAAACTAGAGACGTATTGTTAACATCTTGCATTAAGATCTAATTGTTTAATGGTTGCTTCACTGTATTATAATTGATATTTATTGTTCATCTAGTTTTTATACCTATATTGGCTGATACATGTTATAAAAATTTATATTGTAGTACGAATACAAAGAACTGTTTTATTTTTAAGAATTTTTTGTTGCCCTATTAAAATCAATTTCCCTGGTGTTTAATAAAAGTATGTAATGTAGGTACACTAAAACATGTGTTGTTCTATTATCATCAATAAATTTCTTTTCAATGTTAGCCTGTGTACTTGTTCAATCTTGTAACATACACCTTGCTTTGTTCTTTAATTTAATATTTTGTGACATAAGTTTTAAATATATAAATACTTATACTTTAATCTCTCAGACAACATATATTTGGTATCAAAAGTAATCAATGAATTATTCAATCATGTTTTATCCGTTTACACAAATGTAAATATAAATTAAAATTAATGTTTAATATAGTTTTAAAATCTTGATAAAGTTTAAAACTTTGATTTATAATACATAATGACATCTGAAATATATTCATGTTAAAGATAATCTTATTTTCGTATGATACAAATAAATATATTTTATTATATTATTATATAATATTATATTATATAATGCTTTTGAAAAAAGCATTGCAAATGTATGTTCTACAACAAGTATATATTTAAAGAAAAATAATTTTTTATGTCTAATAAACTTGACAATTCAATTAAAGAAATTATTTACAATAAGGCATTCCTTACAATAAGCCCATTATTACAGAAAATTAGCTGATGTGAATTGAACACACCTTGAAATACAGAAAATTGAAAGAGATAAACAGTGAGAAAAAGAAAATATTAGTAATATGCAGCGGATGTGCTTTATAGAGAACAAAAACGAGGAGCAATTCAAGCAGCTTGAGGTACCACGTGAGACTAACTTCGTAGAGGTGGCGACTGAGGAGACATCAGACATGAGGGGAACGAAACGAGACTGGATTTTTAGAGTACAGGTAATCATATATAATCATAATTATTCGATTCTACGTCTATGATATTTTCAGTGAATGTAATTAATCCTTTGCATGCAAGAAGCGATTCTCAGTTGCCATTCAATTCAATGTATTAAAAATATAAAGTATTCCATATTAAAAATTTTGTACAACATACAAATACATGGAATATGGAAATAAAATATTTCTGTTTTCTAATTTTCGTATTACTCCTCTTTACAGTGCAAAGACTACTTTGAGTGCAAAGACTTAAAATTACTGATTTTATATTTCCTTATATGAATTTATTAATTATTTAGGTGCGCAAGCTAGAAAAAAATGAAGTTTTGTACGTGGTGGGTAATTTACCTGAGTTGGGTGCTTGGAATCACAATCAAGCAATTCAGATGTCGCAAGAACATGGCAGTCAAGATTCTCCAATGTTTTTCGATGGTAATGGTAGTAGAGAATTCTATAATGATGACGCAGGGGACATGTTTCGTGATGATGATAATGAGTAAGTAATAATGGATAAAATTTTCTTATTATTTTAAGTGCATACATTAATTTGTTTATAGTGTATAATTATGTACATATTAAAATTTATAACTTTCAGAGGAGGCCAAATATTTTCACAAAAGGTTTCGCTTCCCATTGATGCTGACATAGAATTCCGATATTTTGTTGCTGTGATCTGTCAATCTAATGGTACTAAGAATTCTGCCAAAACTCTTATTATTCGCAGATGGGAAACATACATGATACCTCGTCTTATTAAGAAAAACAGTATGTGATTAAATACAGAAAATTATATGACAAAATGACATTTTCGATTAAAATAATATGCCTAAATAAACTAATTCTTACAGTACCCAGTAATTTTACTCAAGACTCATTGCCAGATCCAGATAAGTTTGGGTGCTACAATGGTTACTGTAAAATTGAACGGGGATGGTTAACAGATGAAACTGTGATACAATTTAAGCTATTTGATAATCCAATTAAGTTATGGAAAAACCGATTACAGAATAGGAAACTTCACATTAAAGTATGTTATCGAATTGTGTTATTTACTTTATAAATAATAGTAATTTATTATCAATTTTGTATTATAGATTTATAACAGGTTTAATTCAAATTTATCAAATACGTTTATATTTTAGATGACACCTGTAAATCTAGTTAGACATAATTCCTTAGAGTTACAACAATTTGGAGGGGATTGTGTAGACGATAGTCTTTCTATGGATACACAAGATATTATTGATCAACCTGCCTTTAGTATTACAGAAATCGCGGTATGTAAAATATTCTTTCTTTTTTTAAATGAAAGTCTTTCGTATAATTTATTATAATTGTTAGGTAATGAATGATGAAGAGGCCCGCTTCAAGATTCAAGAACAATTCGGCCGAGCTTATAATGAAGATGACTTCATTGTTTTCAATGTTGCTGTTCGATATCCTGAAACTGTTGTAAGTAATCAAATAAGACGATTCACCGGAAAATCATAATAAATACACGACTCGATGAATAACCATTGGTTGGTATTTATTGCTTGCATCACTTGTAATTTTTATAATATGCACTACATACGCATGATAGATCTTTAGTATTCTTGCCAAAATTAACATTTTATATAGAGAGTTCTACGAATGGAAAGATTAAATGCATCTATCTTCAAAAATGTATTTATTAATACTACCAAGAAAATAAGGTGTCTTCTTTTGATTTCTCACCTTGAAACAAATGACAAAAGTACATCTTTGTTTAATATGTATATTATATAAATGAATAATAAAGTTTACTACGAAATTATGAATTTGCCAGAGCAATAAATGAGAAATTGGTGGTAATTCATGAGAGAATTAGACACGCTAAAAATACGCATTGACCATACCATGTGAGTTTTCAGTAGACCACGAGTAGGCTGGCCACGTCTTCTCTCGCGACTTATTCAAATTACTTGGTAAAAGATAATTAAACTTGTTCAGCAGCTATTGCCCTCCTTGGAAACCAGAAGCGATGTCACGCGCACTGCCCTGGAATGAAGACAACCGTCAGCTTTGTACAAAGCAAGACCTCTGGTGCAAATGATGATGCTAACATGCAATCTGATGTATCGATGCTAAGCATCGTCTACCACTTTACGTCTGTGTCACATGACATCACACAGAGATATGATGGTTTTGATTGTCGTTCGCCCTACCGCACCTATCCCGAGGCTAGCCTCTCGTAAATCTATAAAATTCCTATGATACAAATTATTTTGATATCATTGAAATTTATTAAGATTCAATTGAATGCAGTTATTTCGTAGACACGACCTGTTTGTGATGTATATACATCCATGTCGATTTACGTGAGTCGCAGCTATCCTAAGCAAACCTAAAAATTTAGAGATGTCAACGCTATCACACCTCATATCCATCTGTGTGCGTCGAAAATGGTGAGGCTCCCATCACTCCTATATCCTTTTAGTGTACTACTAATATTTTTTAGCTCTGACCAACTCTACTGTACCATACGTGGCACCGCTGCGCGGCCAATGTCAGACTAAGCTGTCAATCTTCTGAATCCGAATTTATAAGCTTTGCAGACTTGATATCGAAATTTAATAATGAATGATCGGCAGGTGTTGCGGGATACGCGTCACCAGGCAGAATACAGCATTTGGCAATTATTGGTCTGGTTCATTGCTAGATTATGTAGGAAATAAATTATCTTCATTTCGTTTCATTGTTCACTAGTATTTGTTGCTCTTGCCGATGAACATTTGAAACTACTAGAAGATTAAAAGATTTAGTAGATAAAAAGAAACAAAAGATGTACGAATGTCTTGAACAATATGGTTTAATTCCTACGATTTTTAGTGATCAAGGATCATTATTAATATACCATAAATTCTGCTTGTTTCTTAGTCTAGAGAAATTTAAAGAGTGATTCTTCAAAATGAATGATCTTGATCATTGGATTCAATTAATATTGAAGCAAGCTCTGTAATGGATAAACAAAAAATACTGATGCAAGCATTTGGTGTTGTCGTAAATAGAAGTATTTTTCCATATATATTAAGTAGACCGTTTTTTCAGGCATACCTAGTGGACTACTACGTGTACAGCTCAAGGTGTTTCCCAGGAGAACCACCAAGTCATATCGGTTTTAGCTACATCTTGCCTAGCACATTGCAATCTAGTGTTGGCCTCTTAACAGTACCAATTACAAGTACAAAACACAGACCAATTGGTAAGACAACCAACTAAAATTTTTCTAATAATTTTTCCTTACTACTTTAGAAAGAAAGAATATATAAGTTTTTTTACATTTTAGGACAACTCACGGTGGAATATGTTGTAATAAAATCAATTCCCGATTATCCATGGGATATGAGTATTTCATATGCGAAACATTGGGAACAACGGTGGTCTGGCCTGGATGTCGGACACAGAGGACTGGGTACATCTTTTCATACAAAAAAGTAAATTATCAGGCTTCCAATCATAGAAAACTGTTAGATTTTTACATAATTATTAAAAGTGAAAATTCATATTGTTCTATTGTTTACAGTTGCGCTAATGTACGCGAAAACACAATAGCTTCTTTGAAAACAGCATCGTATCACGGCGCTGATATGGTCGAATTTGATGTCCAATTGTCTAAAGATCATATACCTGTTATTTACCATGATTTTTATGTTTCTATTTCTTTGAAACGTAAAAAGCAGATAGAAGCTATGGACATGCTGGAAATACCTGTTAAGGATCTCACATTGGAGCAGTTACATTTATTAAAGGTACATTTTGTATAAATACATATACTCATTTGCATAATTATTGCAAAATAAAAAAATATATGTGTATATATATTTTTTTATTTATTTATAAAATAGAATTTATATATAATATATTATAGAATATATATA